CAACTCTTCGTGCGCCCTCTGGAGGAGGGACCTAGGTAGAACAGGGCCGCATCCAGCGAGAGAGAGGAGCGGGGGGTGGCCGGTAGCTCCTCGGAGTCGCCCACGGGCCCAGAAGGCCCAGACTTGGTGAGGTCGCTGGCAGCGGTGGATGCAGCGCACCTAGCACCGGCCGGCAGCGGCGACATCTGGCGGGGCGCCCCGGACTCTGTCTGCGGTGACTCGGGCTCTGGCTCCGGCTGTGAGCAGCACGCGTGCGGGCTGCCACCACCGGCGCCGGCGTCATGGCCGCGCCACGGGGTAGTGGCGGCGCGCGTGGGGGAAGAAGGGTTGGTGGAGTCGGGGGAGGTATCCGCCGTCGCTGGAGCCGAAGCCGGCGGCGGGGGCGGCGGCATAGAGGGGCCGTGGCGCTGTGGAGTAGCCCGCGGAGGGGATGGAGGAAGGGAAGGTGAGGGGGAGGCCGGCCGTGTGGTGGCCATGCCAGCGCCAAATGCGGGCGGCGTCTGGGACACCGTGGGCTCCGCGCGTGGCTGGGAGGGTCATGGGTGGTGGATCTGGAGGGGGGAGGGGAGGGGGAGGTGGGCGGCGACGGAGGCGGGCATGGAGCCGCTGGCTGGGGCTGCGCGGTCGGCTCCGGGCGTGGCTGGGAAGGGTTGTGGGTGGTGGATGGGGTGGGGGAGGAGGAGAGGGAGGCGGATGGGGTGAGAGGGGCCATGGCTGGCTGTGATGGATTGGGGGGCCAGGCACCCCTAGGGTTTCAACGGCTGGGTTGGGCTGGGCTCTCCCCAGAGAACATCTTTGCTGGATTTGCTGTACGACGGCACGGTTTCCACACAAACGAGACAAAAAATCTCACATGGCAAACGTTTTTTCTTTTTCGGACGATGCACAATGCCACATTGCCACGGTTAAATTCCAGGCCAAAATTCAAAAGACGTTCTTGGTACATCTTCTCACTGCTTTCTACTAGTAGCGTTCTAGTACAGGGACATAAATATGTATAGAGTTTTGAGAATCACACTGTTTTAGACTGTGGGAGTACATGGCATATCGTGAATCCTTTTGATATGATGAAAGGGATCGTTCAGTCGTTGCTCGTTGGTCACCGCATGCTGGGCTAGGCCGCTGGCGCTGGGTGGCCGACCGGCCATTGGCACCGCCAAGGCCCAACAGCGAAGCAAACTAGCAAAGCAGCGAAGGAACACATGTTTCAGTTTCAGCACGAGACAAACGAAAAGCGGAGTCAGCCAGTGCCCAGTGGTACTAGTACGGTGGATCGGCACCTTTTGGCATAGAGATGCTTGCTTTACCCATAGTGCCAATACACTGAACTGCAGTTGCAGATTGGAAAAAAGGCCAGGTTTAAAGATGGCAACGGTGATCTACCCGTCGGTATCGCCGGAATGTTTTCTTTCCGCTATGAAAAATTCATTCCGTTCTCGTCCCCGTTAACTGTCTCGGGTATAGATTCTTGCACATCCCCATACCCGTCGGGCATCGGTCGAGTAACAGATACCCGACGGGTATTGCATACCCGATAAACAAGGACACTTGGGGTCGTAGCTTTGCAACCGGAGACATTTCTTCTTCACCGGGGTATAAGTGTCGGAGTCTCGGAGATGCCGAGAAGAAGGAGCGAGGTTGCGAGGAGGACGAGCAAAGGTGACAGAGAGACCGAACTGAGGAAGCGAGGGGCACGAGCGCTCGTGTTGTTGACGGAGATGGTGAGGAAAAATTAAATTAGGGTTCCTAGAACACACAAACTATATATATATGATCATTCAGTTTTGGACCAAAATACCTATGTTGAGCTTCTTTGGGCCTAATACTCGCATGACAGCTCAAATAGTCGGGTTCCCCAATGGGTAAACAGGGAACGTTCCCGTATCCGCTATGTCCGTCGGGGATGGATTCTTGCCCATTTAGATACCCGCGGGTAAAGATATGATCCAATTTCCGTCCCCTAATGGATCAAATACCCATCGGGTATCGGGTATCGGGGGCCGTTGCCATCTTTAGCCAGGTTGCCATACCTTTTGCATCCCCTCGTTCAGCGTATATGGCCTATGGTCCATGGATGAATCCGTGATGGCGCATAAGATTAGTTAGACCATTCCCAGCTGGAGCACTAGACCTGCTTCCGCCGTTGCTTACATTCAGGCTTACAGCTCAAGTCCTCGCAATCGCGGGCGGGGCACACGGGCCGCAGGTCTTCTTCGGGTCCGGCCTATCGCTTCTGCTATTTTAGCCGCCTTTCACGGCGCTAGCAAAAAGGGCGGTGTGAGGAGAAGAGCGTAACGCCATAACCGAACGAAGCAGAAGGCATAAAGGACGCAGCAGGCTGAGGATGGGCGAAACAACAACAGCAAAAAAAAAAAAAACATTCCGTTGCCGGGACTCGAACCAACGAAGCAGAAGGCATAAAGGACGCAGCAGGCTGAGGATGGGCGAAACAACAACAGCAAAAAAAAAAACATTCCGTTGGCGGGACTCGAACCAACGAAGCAGAAGGCATAAAGGACGCAGCAGGCTGAGGATGGGCGAAACAACAACAGCAAAAAAAAAAAACATTCCGTTGCCAGGACTCGAACCAACGAAGCAGGACTCGAACCCGGGTCTCTCGGGTGAGAGCCGAGTATCCTAACCAGCTAGACTACAATGGATTCTGGCAGAAGTTATGTTAACTCCACTTTAGTCGGTGAGATCCCAAACCAGCGTGCAGTTCCATGGTTCAAGATTGTGCAAGAGATCAAACCAATACACGGGATATCTCTAGTTATCTGGTTATTAAGTTTTCTCAAATTTGACTAGGTTTAAAGGTTGTTTGAATGAGTTAGGGCTAGTTTCAAGTTTAGCCAAATAACAAGTTGAAACCTTGGCTGAAAAATTAGCGCTCCTATTTGGATGCGTTAGAGTTAATTTAACTAATTTTAGCTAACTAGCAACGAGCTCTTGCGTCAAACATGCACTAATTTAGCTAAGTTGTTTTGGCTTTTCTAAATTCATAGTTTTATATTTTTTTATTTAGACAGTGTATATCTATATATACGTAGCAAAAACTATGTACATAAAGACGTCAGAGTGACTTATAATTTGAAACGGAGAGAGTACACAAGATTATCAATATTCGAAACACAAATAGATATAATGTGAGAATATATATCTCACGAAAAATCTTGTATCATAGATACCAATAAGGTTTCTTATAAATTTAATCAAAACTATAAAAGTTTTACTCGAAATTATACTAGAATTGTATTTTTTTATAGAAGAGTGTATTGAATACACCTTGTAGCTTAATATATCACTTAAGAACCGGCATTGTCCAGACATGTTAGTAGTGTATCTTAAGTCTTACCCCTCTCCGTTAAAAAATAAGTCTTTTGGTCACCGAACTATAATATGTAGTGTCCGAGTTCGATTTTGACTATCAAACACTAAAAGTGAATATCCTTATCTCTCAAACTATCAAAATCAAAAAACTTTGACCCTCAACTGTTTTCAAAGATGGTTTTACCTAATATGTATTACTAGCAAACATGCACGCGCATTGCAACGAGAGAAAATCAAAATTTGTATCTCCACTTAGTTACTAAAGATATGTATATTTTGCATTTAATCCATCAGCAATGAAGCAATAGCTAAACTAGAACATTGACCTTCTATAAAAGCACAATTTAGAATAATGCCAGCCAAATTTGCAGAAAAGTAGATATATATATATATGAACATATTTAATTATCCATGAAAAGATCGGGAAATTTGAGTGAAAAAAGGAATCCATGCAGGTAGCCCACCTCGCTCGCTAGGGCGCCGCCCTTGGCGGTCGTATCCGCTTCGCCGTCGCTGCCACTGGCAGCAACCACCTCGCCGGCGTTCGCCACCTCCTCCCCACTCCCTTCTCATTCTCCCCTGCCTGCCTCCCCACCCCCTTCTCCTTCTCCCCCGCTCGCCTCCCCACCCCAACAGGTCGTCGATGGCCGCCTCGCCACCCAGCCACCACCGCCTCCCACGACGCCACGTCTGCCGGTGGCGCAACCCTCACTACCGCCTCTCGGTTAGATTAGACAATAGACTGCCCAAAATTTCTGTTTATGATTTAATTAATTGGACAATTTGTCGATCTAGGTTATAATAGGAATAATTTTATTTTTAATAAAATTAAATAATTTAGTAGTATGAATATTTAATTATTAAGAATTAAGGAAGGAGGAAGGATCCAAAGATCCAGCAACTATTGCTAGCATAATATGATTAGGGGGAACACATCGCGCAACTATAGATGGGCAACGGGTCAGCCAGGCCCGGCCCGGTCAGGCCGGCATGGCACGTCGTGCCTCCTAAGGCCATGGGTCTGGCCTTCGGCCCGGGCCTTTTTTCGGGCCAGGCCAGCCCGGGAAGCACGGCACTGCCAGCAGGCCGGGCCAGGCCGCAGCCCGAGCAAGAGGCCGATGGCGAGATGGCTTGGCAGGGCGGAGGCCTAGGAGGCGACGCCGCCCGCCTGCAGGCGCGAAAACGGCATCGGGCGGCGGCGATTGGAGCTAGGAGCGGCGGTGCTTGGGGTTGGGAGCGGCGGCCGACGGCGGCGCTCCGGATCTCAGGGGCTGGAGCACTCTCTGTCTCTCAGTGCCGGGATCTCAGCAGTCGGGAAGGGGATTTCTGGGGTCGGGAACATGAGTAGAGTGGCGGCGCCATGGCGAGGGCCGACGTCCCAACCAAGTGGCGCCCCCCTTGCATGCGAATGCCCGCCTCCCGCTTCAGGCATGCGCCCCCCCGCCCTCTCCATTTTCCTTCCTCCGCGGTCCCCGCAACGCACGGCCCTTCGCTACAGGCCCCCGCACCTCCTCTCCCCTCCCCCCCCACCGAGGCACGCACCACCACCAATTCCCTCGCGACGCATGATGGCGGTGCGAGAGCAACGGGACTAGGGGTTCGTCGTCAGCCATCGACCGCGCGCGTCTGATCAGCGGTGGGGGTTCTGCCGTCCGGACGGAATCGGCAGCATGGCGGGGCCCGGTGAGAAGGCGGCGGGCGGAGGCGGGGGAGGCGAGAGGCGCAAGTACCCGATCCACGTGGAGGACTACGAGCTCTACGAGGAGATCGGGCAGGGCGTCAGCGCCATCGTCTACCGCGCGCTCTGCAAGCCACTCGACGAGATCGTCGCCGTCAAGGTTCTCGACTTCGAGCGCACCAACAGCGACCTGGTACGCGCGCTACACCGTTACCTATCTCCCTCTGATCCGCTGCGTCTCGTTCGCTGGATGCTGCTGCGTGTCACCGATTGTCATGGCGCGCATCGTAGTTCTGCGTTTAGGAACCAACTATTTGGGCCAGTGATGTTCAGAATAATGGCTTGGGTGGATTCGTTTTTCTTAACAAAACGATCTTGTGTATTATAGCTGAAGAAGAATTATACTGACTCGATGAATAAATGAGCACTACTTGTTTGGTGGTACTGGTTAAAAATCTAGAATGTAAAGGTGCAATAGTTTGAACATTCTTTCAATTCTTTTTTTTAATGCATTTGTAACTCTCGGTTCACATTTCCATGGAATCTTATTCAAGTTTCTTCCTCTGTTTCTAGCTTACGTACCACCAGGGTTGCAAAGCTCCTCTGAGTAAATAACGTGAATATTCAATGCAGAACAACATCATGCGCGAAGCTCAGACAATGATTCTGATAGACCACCCTAACGTTGTCAAGGCGCATTGTTCATTTGCAAAGGACCAAACGTTATGGGTGGTTATGCCGTATATGGCTGGAGGGTCCTGTCTTCACATAATGAAATCAGTGCATCCTACTGGATTCGAGGAACCCATCATTGCAACGATACTTCGTGAAGTCCTCAAAGGTTTAGAGTATCTTCACCATCATGGCTCTATACATCGAGATGTGAAGGTAAATGTACAATTCCAACCTGATTTATGCACTTGTATCTGTTGCTTTCTTCTCCTTTGTGACTGCTATACATCTTTCTTTTCTACTTGTTTCAGCAAAGTTAAGTGGTTGCTATTTTATCTCTCTGTTTGGTGATAGGCAGGAAATATTCTAGTCGATTCTAGGGGTGGAATTAAGCTTGGGGACTTTGGAGTCTCTGCTTGCCTTTTTGATTCTGGTGATAGGCAGAGGGCCAGGAATACTTTTGTGGGAACGCCTTGCTGGTACAGAATCGTACCAGGATCTTAAATAATACATAATACTATTTCATGACATGTGGAGTTTTTCCCCCCCTTCTTTCACATGTTCATCCTTGGACATTTTTAATGTACTAGGATGGCGCCCGAGGTTATGGAGCAGCTACATGGATATGATTTCAGGTAGGGTATTCCTAGTTACTCCGACTTGTTAAGTGATTTTCATCTGCACTAGTATTTTTCTTTGTGTGTATTTGTTAACTGGAGCTTTTTCCATATACTACAGAGCAGACATATGGTCCTTTGGAATTACTGCACTTGAACTTGCTCATGGTCATGCTCCTTTCTCTAAGTACCCTCCCATGAAGGTATACTTTCAGCAGATGTCATTGCTTCGAGTAAATCCTCGTGCTATGTTGCAACAGTGCATAAAATTCTGCACTTTGTCAGGTCTTGCTTATGACACTTCAGAATGCTCCTCCAGGTCTTGACTATGAAAGAGATAAGAAATTCTCAAGGGTAAATATACTTAAGATGGCCTCCATATTTTCTAAGTTGAGTATAACTTCTCATTTCTGAACAATAAATTCTTACGATAGAACTTCAAGCAAATGGTTGCTATGTGTTTGGTAAAAGACCCTTCAAGGAGGCCTTCGGCAAAAAGATTGTTGAAGCAATCATTTTTCAAACAAGCTCGTTCCACTGATTTCATTGCACGAAAGCTTTTGGAAGGATTACCTGGCCTTGGTGTTAGATATCAAGCTTTGAAGGTACACTGGTTTTAAGTTTTACTTTGTGACTAACTATTCTTCATGAAATTAACACAGAAAGGTTCACCATGATGCAGGAAAAGGATCAAGATTTAATGGCTCAAAGGAAAATGTCTGATGGAAAGAAAGAAGAAATCTCGCAGGTGCACATGCTAAATATCTAATTTCGTGGAAATGGCTCTATTTTTGTAGTAAGTAGAGCAAAGCTTTTTGCCATTAGCACCCCGCACCCCCCACACACCCCCCCAAAAAAACTACACGATAGCCTCGTTAATAATCGAGAGAACACCTTAGCAGGAGTTCATAACCAGTTTTCACATTACACATTTATTGATCCCTAATATTTCTTATTTCCTTAGGATGAATACAAAAGGGGTATTAGCAGCTGGACCTTCAACATGGATGACCTGAGATCTCAAGCTTCACTGGTACTCATATAAATTTCCATCATTGATGTTCACACCATGTAATTCCGTGTAATTGACCTTTTTTCAGGGCACAGAATGTGAAGACAGTATATCATGCAAAGATTCAGATATGTCTTTCTATGACTTGGACAGCTTACAGGATCAAGCAACAGAAGGGCCACATTTGTCGAGAGATATCTCAACGAAGTATGATGCTGACATTGTAAGTTTCCATTCCTGTGGAAATTTTGGTGTTATAACTCAGCATAAAGTTTTGGCTGACATCTAACCCAAGAAAAGCTGGTAGGAAAATGATATGACAGCCAAAGATAAGTCAGCTGTTTCATCTCCTGATCAGCCTGCTTGCTTGTTAAGGTAATAGACATTGCTGCTTGTAATGACAACTAGTGCCATTTTGGAGAGTGCATTGATGACGATGGCAATGTAAACATTCTTTTTCATCGTCAAATTGGTTTTCACTGTCAGGAATGCTTCTATGCATGGGATGCCCACAAACGGTTCTGTCAGGAAAGACAACTCTACAGAAAGCTTCGATATGGAATGTCAAGAGAAACATCCGGACATTATTCCAACTAGCTCATCCCATGAAAGGAAGTTTTCTTTTAGTTCTTGTTCATCAGATGGACTCCTTTCGTCCAAAGAGAGGTTTGTTCTTGTTTACAGACTAAAGAAAGCATTCTACGTGGTCTCAAGCAGTAGCATGACCAAAGTCAGAAGCAAAAGTGCAAAACCTGTCCTTTTAATAAGACTTCCGTGCGAGATAGCGTTGAAACTTGCAGCAGTGTCTATGAAGGTTCAGTTAGATAACAGTGCCACTTACGGGTTGATGTATTTCTAAAGTGACTTAGCTTGGGTTTACAGTTATGCACATGTTCCGGCAGCAGTGTTTGACTATTTGTGAACAATTTTCCTACTCAAAATCAAGCTGCCCGATTATATATTTCTTCCCATCCCATTATATATATGTTCACATAAATTCACTGGCCTTGAATAAACCAATTAGAAGTAGGTTGTTTTTATATTTATGACAGCATAAATAATGTGTAAGCTACACAACCATACCAGAAAGAGCATTACATAAAAACAGGAGGAAACTTACAGATGGTTCTATGTCTATTACCACATTGGCATTTCAGTCCTGTCAACTATTTTTCTTTTTAATCTTTTGGCACCTGCTTAGTGTTATTCTAGAAGCTATGAAGCTCTTAAACACTTGTTTTTTAAAAGAAAACTCTTGTCTATCCTTGTCTCTTTCCAAAAATGTTTGTAAGCAGTGCATAATTTATCTTATCTATCTTTTGAAAGCAATATGTAACTAAGATCCAATCCTTTCAGCTCGAGACAGCAAAGTAGCATCCACAACCGTGACAAGTGTAATGGAGCGCCCTTGCATGTATCAGATGAAACATCTCCTGAAGCTGCTCCTAAGGCACATAAATCAGCAGGTAAAAGTTCTAGGTTGAAAAGTTCAAATGTAGCTTTGTGTACCATAACCTCACTACCTATTGACGTGTTAACTTTAATGTGCCTCATTTTAATTCAGAGGACCATGATGATAGATCGAAACCTCCACTTATAAGAGGTCGATTTAAAGTTATACCTGGGCATGTTGACTTTGATAAGGTATTGGCAGGTATTAATACTTGGCGCATTTATATCCAGTAAACTAAATGAAGAAACATTTTTATAATCTCAGGTTCAACCACCTGGCCTACAGAAGTGTCACAGCATGCAGGTTATATGCTCCACTTTTACTTTTTTTTTTTGGGGGGGGGGGTAAAATCAGGAGTAGAAAATGCCCTTGTTCTTCTTTTGTTAACTAAGCACGGTATAAAAGACAGCCCAAAAATCATGTTTGTACTTTTTTTAAATATTTTACCATCTGGTGTTTTTAACTAAGGATTCCATTTTGCTAATATGCAGACAATTTCTCGCCTTCCATCATTAAGTATACCCTCTTCCGCAGAAGTTGCATCAAACATTATTGGTGGCTCCTTCTACATGCAGCTATATAGTATTCTACAGACAAATATGCTTCAGAGGGTAAACCCACCTCTGAAATATGCACAGAAAAAATAAAGAACACCCACCCATCCAGCTCAAAATGAAGAACCTGAACTTTCAGATCTATTGATGTCACATTCTTGTCCTCTTTTACAGGACCAAATACTTAACGCGATGAAACAGGTGAGTGGTTGTGACATGGCTTCACCAGGCATACCTTCTATGGCTTCGCAGTGTATCCCTTCCACAAGTCGCTCGACATCTCCATCAGGTGCAGTGTCGGTTGACAGATCCATGGTGAGTATATGCTCGATCCTTATGAATATCAAAGGGTTATAAAACTAGTAATATCTCGGTATTCATAAATGGAATGAGGTAAATTGAAAAACATTGGTGAATCGTTTATACTCACTAACTATACCTCTTCTTTTTATGATGGTATAAATACTATAACCCCGGTACCTTTCCAGTTGGAAGCTGCATATGAAAGGGAGAAAGAGCTACTGAATGAGGTCTTGGAGCTGCAATGGCGGTAATCATCTTTAATCTGGTCTTTCCAAACCAAAGTAAGACATGAAGAAATTCTCAGTCCCTATTCCTGAAAGTTCGGACTGCTGCAGGTTATTGTGCACACAAGATGAGGTTCAGAGGCTTAAAGCAAAGGCAGCGCAGGTGCACATAAAATTTTCCCTCTCAAACTAATTTGAGTACATCTTCCAAGAATCTTAATATGCGGAAATTGTTGTAATGGATACCCTCCGTTGGGATCCTTTTATTTTGAAAGAATTGGAATCTACTTAATGAATTAGGCTATTTGGCTTGGAATTTGACATTCCACAACTTTCTCAAGTTAGCCTATCTCAAATTCATAGAGTGAAAGATGGAAATTGATTATATAGATCATCATGCTATGTTTCTACTCTCCAACTTATAGCACGCTATTCAACTCGCTTCCCTATAGTAAAATTGCAACATATAAGTATCTCCTTTGTATGGCTAACAATAATATACAAATATATTCTATATAGAACCGTATTAGCTTAATTAATTTGTGCTTGGATTATAATTATTAGAATGAATTCAATTCCAAGGATCCAAATGGGCCCTAAGGGTTTGTTCAGTTAATCCCGTCCATAAGGGGATTGAGAAGGATTAAATTCCCTCCATTCGCTTCAATCTTCTCAGCTGAACAAGCCCCTAATAAAGATTTTGCTACCAATGTGAAATTTCTGTATGTTAATATGAAATGCTTAGCATTGACAGATCTGATGCTGAAGCTGCTAAGGGGGCATTAAGGGCGCATTGTGGCAAGATGATCTGTTGATGCGGTCTTCAAATGGTTATTTAGCATAGAAAGAGATAAAAAGAATAAGGATAGGATATATTTAAAAAGAACTAGCAATGCTCGAGTGTTCAGTCCTGTCTCAGCAGGATATTAATGTTGGTACCATATGTGTGTATGTGTTTATGGATGGCATGGCGCTGTGTTTTTGTTGGAGCGCAGTTCCCCTGTTGGGAAAGATAGCTTAACATGCCTATGGTTTTAATGAATTCAAATAGTTGAACATGCCTATGGTTTTTAATGTTTCTTTCCTTTTGATGTTGCTGCATGACTTTTCCTTTAAGTTCAAGGTTAAACGTAAACATACCAAAATCAAGGCTACTATATAGCCTTGGCACTAAATGCTGTTGTAACAGTGTGATTGTACCAATTGGCTCCTCATCTTGTGCTTGTGGTGAACAATGGGAAGAACTCCATCCAACAGACAGAACAATAGTAATCACATGCATAATTGACAATTAATTTACATGCACAATTGACCTCAAGGTGAGAGTAAAAGAACCATGGGACAACCGGTCCACTCCAAGATTTTCCACGTTAATCAACCATGGTACTAAGTCTTCTCTTGAACCTTCAAGCTTTTCCACGTTAATCAACCATGGTACTATGAGCCTTCTCTTGAACCACTAGAGGATTACAATGGCAACGACACACTGGTATCGATGCAAAGTGGCATCAACAACCACCAAGACAAGTCACAGATGTTGTCCTGTATAATGAGTTCATATCACACTCGCACATACTAGAAGTCTACAATGTATGAAATTCGGTAGGCATGTACTTTCACAAGTCATCTACTCACTACCAAAAATTCAGCTCAATCAGAATTCAGAAACTATTTCATCACCAAAAAACGATCATCCACAAGGACTGCTCTATGTTCAAACTGGAAGAAGGGAAAGGGGGGGGTAGTAGCGTCTCCAAGTTTGATGATGATCCAACAAACCTTTGAGACTCCAATCACAAGTTAGTGATAAAACAGCAGCCACAAAGCCTTTTAATCCCAAGCAAAATTGGGATAAGCTAGAGTTAACGTGAGATGGGGACTAAAACCTTGCACACTTTTCAGGATGTTGTTTATATGATCAGTTTAGGACATGTTTCATGAATTTACATTACAGTCAGTATTATGTCCAAGTACATGCAGAGCTGATGCATAGTTGTGTTTCTTTTTCTTTTTCTTTTTTTGTGTGGTGGTGGGGGGTGGGGGAGAGATAACTGGCTCAAAGTGAAAAGTACTCAAATTACAATGGAAAAGAAACCATCTCAGCAGGTGTAAAGCTTTTTATGCATTGCATCAAACTTTGCTGTCTACTTCTATAATAATTTACACGCGCCACAAGCCCACAACATGTCAATTCCCACCAGTGATGCACACCTCTATACTATGTACAGTTGAAGTTAGTCCCAATGCCCGGTTAAGTAAGGCCGAAGAATTCCCGTGAGTACATACAAATATAATCACCTAACAGGTTCCAGTCAGAGGAGCCAGCATTACAAGTCAGTCTATGTGCTGCTCGTTCTGCTTGGGACTACCCGAACAAGAGTCCAGGAGATTAAATTCACGCACCAAAAACCACGAAGATTCATTTGACTTGGTTGCGTTGATCAGATACTCTCGGAAGTATCCATCATGTGTTACAATGTAAATTACAGTCCTGTAAAGAATTGCATGGGTAATTTAGAAATGTGCAGCAGTTAGTGTTTCCACAATAAAAGGAGAAGGAAAAAAAAACTCATGAACAGATGACAATTTGCGGTTCTTACTTCAACGCAGGAAATTTGGAAGAATTTTGGGAATTTTCAACACTGTGTACTGCCAGACAGCTGCAGTACAAAGGATGATGTTAGTAAAATCAATAATGGAGTTTGTACAGGGAGTGGCAAGAAGTAGTATCAATAATGAATGGACCTCTTGATGTCTGCAGTGACAACATGGTGAATAACATGATGATTAGCTGGATCCAAAGCATCAGTTACAGATCCAGGAATCACTGAACTGAGCAATGTATTTGCTTGTCTCCTGAAAAAAGTGGATGTGATCAAATCAAATCATGCCTGTGAAATAATGGCACGCAAATCATAGCTAGCATAAAGCAGGACATGAACCTTGCGTTCCTAGAAGCATCAAGGAAAAACATGTGCAAAGAGCCTGATGAACTTGTGGCAACAAGAACGTCAGGTAGATCAACAGATGGACTAAATGTCAGTGAATAGATCGTTGATGGGTATGTTCCTCGCCGAAAACTATGTGACTGTTGAAGGAAAAATGCAAAAAGATATAAGGTGAATTGTAGAGAGCTCAATGTCAAATTGATTCTGAAGGAGAAAGGTATAGTTTCACCTTGGTTGCTTGTGCCACAAGATGCACTCTAATCATAGTACCCTTTTCAGAAGCCGTTGCCAGGTACAAACCATTCAATGAAAAAACCATTGCAGCTAACGGAGCTTGATGAGCATCTATCTGTCAGCCAGTTACACAAAACAGTGAGAAAACTACACCACAACCCACGCTCCAACAATCAGCAATTAACTTCACACTCGAGGACTTCTTAATGAAGGAATTGGATGCGAGCATATAATTGGGACGCTGAGGATGTAAGCTTATAACTGGATGTTTCAACCACCCAAATCAAAGAGTTTTTTTTTTCAGAAGAAAGTATGCAGCTCTCCTGCTGCTTTGAGGATAAAACAAAAAAAGAAAACGACCATCTATTGGCAAGATTAAACATTGAAAGGTGACTGAGATGTGTATTGCAAGTTTCGCATACCACGATAAGCATGAAAAAGAGTCAAATAAAGCTCCACTCATTTTGCTAGCTTTACCAATAAATAAGCTCAATGCTGCCACATCATTTGCATAGTCATTGCATTTTTTTCTATTGTTTGAAAGTAGAGCAAGGAATCTTAAATAATCATTGAACTCTCTAATAGGTTTTCAAAGTCATGTCAACCAAGGTACAAGTCTAGATTCTAGAGAATAAAATAGTTGTCTTTACCAAGCTGTATGTGAGAAAATCACAATAGGGAAGGATCTAAACCTGCTGGAGTCAATATAAGTATGACACAGGAAACAATAAATTACCTGGCATATTAATTCCGGTTTTGATGCTTTGTATACTAAAGCAGATCCTTTGGATGTGCTTGCAGGGAGAGCCAAATAACACTCTTCAGAATTAGGAGCAAATGCACATAAACCTAATTTAAAATGTAACAATATTATCAGCAAAACAATACAAGAGTGTTTTTTTATATTATTATTGTTATTATTATTTGCCATTTTGAAAGCAAGGGCTGTTAGCAGGAGGTATGACATGAATATTTGGTATACAAAGAGCAGGAGGATCCTTACCTTTTGTATTGGGCACCGTTTCAATTTCATCCAATATAGTAGTGCTATTTAGATCATAAACAAAAGTCCTATCCTGCAATACAACAACAAGCCTGCACATAATGTGATTACTACTTTATTCAAAAGAACACAGCAACTAGTATGCACAACAACACAGTATTTTAGAATCCTGACTGGGACTTAATTGACATGCATCAATTAATAACAGAACATAAAGTATGAACCACCACAGAAACTGAGAATACATTGAAGTAGTAGCTAACCTCTTCCTACTTAATCGCACAGCCAAAATTGAAGTCTTAAAGTTCAGATCTCGCTTTGATGCTCCTGTTTTGGTATTGAACAAGCACAGATGACGAGGAGACATTGCAGGCTGCGAAAGAGGAAAGAATTTGAACTCACAAGTCACAATCAACAAGTTAACTCGACTAACCTATGAAAGTTCAACAAGTTAGGGGCAATCAATCAACAGAATGAGGTACCTGTTCACCAGTTCCAACAATGGCAAGTAGGTTTGTGCCAAATAGCATTTCCACAATATTGAATCCCCCAAGATCTGCAAACACGCAGAGGTTCATACTCAGCATCTTATAGTAGTAGTACTATTACAGAACAGCTGTCTCCACAGTAGAATGACCACTTTCTTTGTTTTGAGAAAAGTAGAATGACTAATGCTCTTTCAATATACATTTTTTGGAACCGTGTTCAGAAATAAATTGTAAGTGTTGTTTCATTTGATTCTGCTAGACCCTAATGTATTATTGTTTCAAAATTCTAAAACGCTATTCATAGCCAATATACTCCCGTAACAACGTGGTACCGATTTTATTGTTGCATACAACCGTATTGGATATTTCCACAAAATCTAAAAGGGGTCTCCGAAGAAAAATCTCACTCTTTTCATAGCAGAGCCTCCCATTGCGAGCGTCGAAGATCTTGAACCCATCCTTGGTCCCGACAGAAAACATGCTGCAACAATACAAAAGGAACCAGAATCAACGCTCCTAATCCACCATCCCCGCCACCGTAAAAAGCAGTCACCACGAGACAGGTATTCTCAGCGCACGCACCTGTTGTCCTGATTGAAGGAGACGCAGATGATCTGCGACGGAGACGAGCTGCTCGCCATCGCCGGCGCTGTGAAAATCGGGCCCACTCGCCGGCGCGCCCGCTCGTCTCTGCAACAAAAATTCTTCGGTGTCGCTTCACTGCTTGGGGCCGGCCGCCGTAGCGTAGGTGGGTGCCGTCGAAGCAAAGCTAGGGTTCGGCGCCGACAAGCAAATCGACCCCGAGTCCGGAAGGACCTCCACGCCACGCAAGTCCGATGCCACCTGACGTCGGGAGGACGACGACGACGACTACGAGAGTAGGAAGGCGAGCTTCCCCCTGTCTGGAATAAGGAATCGAGTTCGTTCGTTGCCCGGACCAAGAAGGCGACGATGGATGCTTGGACATGACAGGTGCGTGGGTCCGACCCGGCCTGCCTTTTGGGCCAGCGCGGCCTGACATACTGAGGCCCAAGATTTGAAAAGCACAGCAGCACAGGCCCACGGAATCGGTGGTCTTGCAAAAATCTAGATCTCCTTTGGAATCCGGGGAAAATTTCAAATCAAACGTTTCTACAGTAAAATTAAACTGATTTCTATGAAATTACAATATGTTTCCTTGAAAAACCTACGTTCCAAAAAAAAACTAACATTTTTTTGCTGACAAGACATTTTTGCTGCTTGCTGGTCATCAGCTAGCGTGTGAGCGCAGCACTCCACAGTCCAACAGGTTATGGGAAACAGGAGCTGCGTCGAGATGCGTGCTGGACGGGCGGGCCTCCACCTGTCGCGGCGCAGGCGCAAGCCGCCGTTGACAAGACATTTTTGCTGCTTGCTGGTCATCAGCCGTGTGTGAGCACTGCACCTGATCTCGTCAACAGGTCAGGGAAACAGTCAGAGCTGGAGCGAGATGCGTGCTGGACGGGCGGGGCTCCACCTGTCGCGGCGCAGGCGCAAGCCGCCGTTGAACGGAGCGAAACGACGCGTGCTTTTGCTCTGGCCGTCTGCACGAGCACTGCACCTGATCTCGTCGGCCTCAGCCAGCCAGTCAGCCTGGAGCCGGACTCGGCAGACGGCAGCTAGCTGCCCAGGGAAACGCTAAGCTTGCCGATTAGGCTGTCCCCGGCGGTACGGTTTCTCTAATCACTCACACTACTGCTTGCTACTCTCCCTGTCTCTGTCTCTGACTCTGAGGGCTGAGGCAATCAAATCATGAGCGCTTAATCCAGCCCAGGACTGCAGGCCGGCCCAACATCAGCAGCGACCGACCTGGCTCGGGCTGGCTCCTCCTCGAGCCACGCGCAAGACGGCAAGAGGTCTCTCCGGCATGGCGGCATTCCGGCCCAGAGTCCCAGACGCCCAGTACGTACTGTACGAATCATGCACGCAATAATCAGGAGCGCATGCATTGCCATCCGTACACCCAGTCGTGGTGTACACGTCCAAGTCGTATCTATACTACTACTCTATACAGAGATACAAGTACCGTTCAGATGAAGCGTGAACAAAAACCAAACTAAAATGCATGGTCTCGTCTCAAACTCTCGGTCTCTCTCGAGGGTGAAAAAGGATACTGATCAAGTTAATCCGCCGAGTAACGTCTATCTGCCTGTCGTACAGACGTACAGTGCAGTGAGACCGGTCCAATTAAGGGCACGCACAGTTGCAGCAGGTGCGGGGCGACAGTAGCCGCGGGTACGCTCGCAGGCGTGTTTGCTTGGCAACCTGGCCTCCTGACCAGAAGCCAGAAGCCACGAACCAAACTTCGGTGTGCCACGTGAGAGCTCGCTGCATGTTTCGGGCTTGGTTGGGTTGGTTTTGCACCAGCACGCATTGCGCGCCTACGTAGGACCTTCTTCGATGTTGGGCTACAGTACCCCCACCCACCCACCCACAAGCCTGGCTAAAGTTACCTGCACACATACAGACACAGGGATGCAGTTTTTTTCCCCTATCTGACTCTAACCGGTCATGAGGCGCGTTCAAGAGTGACATGTTTGCTTGTGACAATGTGTTGTACTAGTAACCAGGTGCTAGATTTTACTAGCTCCAGCATCTTTCAAAAGAATGCAACTTTAGTCCCGTCGTTATCTAAAGTTTAACTAATTTAAAAATTAGAGCAATATTCTTGTGACGTCAAATGGTCTATCATTAAGTACAATATATTAAATAACAAATCTAATTATACTTATTTATCATCATAAATATTGTTTTTTCATAAATTTAATTAAACTCTAACTATTTTGACTCCATATATATTACACCAGAATTGTATTGTTTTTAGAATGGATGAAGTATGCTCCGTACTCCGCAAGCATGCTTCATAAGCCCCAACTCGTTTCCTTGATTAATATCCAGCACTTTTGTAAGCGAGATCTCGTTGTTTCTTGAAAGTTTTTCGGTTTCACTCCTTCCAGATATTCCATGACGTGTACATGAGTACAATTGCTGACGCGTGAAACAATTTTGTCGCGTGATGAGACTTAAATTTCAAAAAATATAAAACCCTTTAATACGATGTCGGATGAAGATAATTTTTATATGTAAATTGTAGACCTCGATGAGATCTACAACTTTGTAGTTTTGAGTTTTTCCATTTGAGGACGTTAAGATGCTCGAAAAAATAATATAAAATTTCGGCGCTCTCGAAAATATCAAAAATTATTGTTCACCCGCAAAACCGCCCAGAAGTTCGAAAGTTGAACTTTTTCGAGAGTTGGAGGGCCAAAGTTGTCCGGATTTAAAGTTTGAGATTGAAATCTTAACTTTACTGCAAGTTGAGAGTGTAAATTAGACTTAACCCTATATAAGCCGGTCCAAACGACGCTAACTGCGCTAGTAGGGAGAAGAGAACGGGAGCGTGCATGCCCAGGCAGTAGCCACTGTGCCAACGCGAGACTCCTGGCACTCGCACAGCACATGCAGTAGCATCTAGCACCAACGGCCAGGCCAGCCATGCAGCCGTGGACCGGTCGTTCGTCCTCCTCCGTCCGCCACCGCCCACCGGAACCGGATCGACATCGATCGCCGCGCGCGCGCGTGTCCGGCCAAAACCCGGAGTAGTGAACCTGTCAGGCGACCGGCCTGCCGGAGCACGTAAGCAGCGCCATAACTGAGGAAAGTGTTCCGGGTCGGGCAGATCGGCCATGGTAGAGATAGCTAGCTAGCGCGGCCCCGGATGGGCACGCCGACGGCGACGGGGCCCGGGGCCGGGGAGAGGTTTTTACCATGGCTTGGCCCTTGCCTAGAGCCATCACCTCCATTCCATATATACATATTGCAAACTGGCAGCACAGAGGGGCTCAGTGGTCACCAGCCTGTTCGGAAGCCTGTATTCGGCTTATAAGCCTTGGCTTATCGGCCAACGAATAGTATTTTTCTCTCACACCAAAACAGTCAGTAGTATTTTCAACCATGACTTATAAGTCAGTCCGGCCAAAACGAAATGGCTGCACAACCACATGGACCGATCGGTGGCTGCTTGCCATTACCACTTCCACTGCTCCGATCCATCTGTGGGTCGCTCCAGCCTCCATCCCGAGCTCTAGCACAGTAGCAGGTAGCTAGGGCTCTTGCCCCAGGGGAAAGGACCACGCACGAGGCTTGCTGCTTCGGTGTTTCAGGAGAAGAACGGCAACGAGTTATTGCTCTCCTTGTTCGTTGGATCTTCCTCGGTTCGCCTAACGGCCTAAGGGCATGCATGCATGGAGTCTGGCCGATCAGCGTCCCGTTCGTTTGGGCTTGTTTGACTGATAAGCCATGGCTAATAGTACTGTTGTCTGATTTGGTGTGAGAGAAAAATACTATTCGTTGACTGAAAAAGTACGGCTTATAAGCTAAACAAACCCAAATGAACCGCACGCATAAGAGTGCTAAGACGAAGCCCAGAGGTACTATGCAATGCCCTCTCCTTGCTTGCTTGCAATGCTAAAACAGTTTTACATTCCTTTCCGTGATGTACTCCTACATGCATGGATCTGATTTCATGCATGGTTTGAACATGCATGGAAGGTTGTTGCAAGAACAGAACAGATGATACCCATCTGGTGACTCGATGAGCCTGAACCGATCCGATTATTTTGTTTGATTGAGACTCAGGCCTTGTTTAAAACCAGGATGTAAAATTTTGAGGTGTCACATTACCAGAGGTACGTATTCATGCTATGAGACCGATCAGCATTAAGACGTGAGCCGCGGTGGTAGGCGAGACGATATCGACGCCCTCTGTGCAGTCTTCACTCCCCCCCTTGCTTGCTTGCTTGGGGTATGCTAAAACAGATTTTGAAACAAACATAAATACATAAATACATATATATACGTTGCAAATGCCCAAACTCCCCAAAGCCCTACATGCATGGCCACCAAAGTAAAAACAAGCTCAGATCGGGTTTTCATGCTCCCATTTCACATTTGACACGCACCAATGGAAGAGTTGTTGCGAAAGAACAGAACAGATGATACCCATCTGGTGACTCGATGAGTCCCAGCCCTAGCGTCCGGCTCCCTTGAGAGCGGATCCGATTATTTCCGGCATGTTTGTCATTTTTCTCAAGTGCCAATTCATCCACACATTTACAGCAACGGGCACATCTGCTTAGGTAAAACTGCTCCCTAGGAATCTTGTCTGACGGAGAACATTTGCGTGTGACTCCATGTTTGATAATGCTTTTCATTAGCTTCATGACGGCGGCCCAATGGGAATGTTATTTGCCTGACCTAATAATGTCCCGTCTAGCTGTCAGTTAAGTGCTAAGATTCTATTTGTTAGAAGAAAGTTGCCAACTTAACCAATTGTGCTTTTATAGTGCTATATAATAGGCTCATGACTGAGAGTCTGAGATGCAACACACATTCCCTTTTGTTACTAGAGGGTCTTGATTGGATTGACATATGCGTGTGAAATTGCTATGTGCAGGAGTTTTGTATTTGGCCTTCTAAAGTTGAAGCAAGTTTTGTATTCGGCTGCGGCTCCGGAGCCGTTGAAGTTGAAGCAAGGTGAGCACAGTAGCTTCGTAGCACAGCAGTGTCAGATCCATTCTTCAGAGTTAAAATTTAGGATTTTTTCGTTTTTTAATTTTTTTGC